TCAAAATTCTACCTTTTTCTGGGTTAGCTTAATCGGGCTTTGAACAACCCGGCCCAGGAGCTACGCTTTTAGGCTGGCCTAAATCTATATATTATTATAACGTCGACTAACGAGGTTGGTTTATTTGGCTGAATATAATGTGTAGCGATGGCATTGTCGATTACCACCAATGTTACATTTTTGTGTATTTAATTTGTCTGTTCTTTTTATTGACTTATAGTAGTTACAATTATTCACCTGTAAGGAGATACACTATTTCAAACTAGGAACTTGTAAAAGCACTAAATAGAACATTCCACTTGATACACCATGCAGGAAATATCAAATGGCAACTGGATATTAAGACATACCTTGCACGACAGCAGCTCCAAACAAGAAAACAACGCCTATGATCAAACAGAATGACTGCTTCATTTTCTCGTCAGTTCTTTTTTGTTTAATTTCTTGTCTTAAATCTGTTGCAGAGACAATAACAACCTCTATTAAAGATAAACGTTTATTTCCTGGTTTGAATGGGAGGCGGGGTTGCCAAATGGTTGAACCAACAGATTGAGTAAATTTTTGGTTTTGCCAAAGATAAATCCAGTTCTTTATCGTTTTATGATTTATATATTTACATTCGAGTATACTCAGTTCAGAAAGCGAAAGCCTTTTTTTCGGCCACATTTGTTGACAAGAGTTAAAAGATCAGCGTAATCAGACTTTTTATTACAACGGGATTGGAGAATAACAAGTCATCAAAATTATCATGAGCTAACGTTGGAAAAACAAACAATGTGTATTTTGATTGTGATGAGGATGACTGTTTTCAGTGAATAGTTTTCCTTGCCTGATGAAAAGCTGCCACAACTTCGTAACCTTCGTTTGAAGTCGCCTTTCACCGCCTCGGGTTACAGATTAATTTTGTAGAGTTCACTGTTTTGCTATCACTCAGTGTGAACACGGTCTGTTAGTCAGAATCGAGGGGTTATCTTCCTTCAAATTATTACTGATTTTGTTTCAAAAGGAAAGAGTTAGTTTTATTGGAAAATACGCCACTCGTAAAATTCATACTATTTTATATCCGGAACCCAAGTGGTGTATTTTCCAGTCCCACTAATGAAGATTTCGACGGTGTCATTTCCAGCTTTTGACAGTTGTTTGTGCATACAGTCAGTTTGTCTACATAATAAAAAGAAAATTACACGGTGGTATGGTTATTGTTTTTTACCACTCGAAAATAAAATCATATCTTAGCGCTGCCGTGTAATATCTTCTATATCTCTGACAACAATTCTGCCAACGAATAACACGATAACTGAACAAAAATAATCATAACGTGTTTGTTTGTGAACCTCTTGATTGCCAAATTTCCAAGCCTTTTCAGGCTTTTGTCTTTGCTTTCGAGATTATTGGAAGTAACTTTGTCATTTGACTACAACTACCAGAATTCCGGCTTTGGTTTTTTTTCTTATTTAAATTTAAGGCAATATAACAATTGCCCAATAATTAGCGTAAGAAACAGAAAAAGTGAAGGATTCTGGTAGTTGTAGTCGAACGACGCCATCCTGCCAATTGCCTATTCTCATAAACACGCATGCTGAATAGGCCATTTCCAAGTTGCCTTTTGCCTCTGTGTCAAAACGGGTCTTCGAGGTTCATTTCCATGCAAATCAAACTAATTTTCACGTGAAAGCTTTTGCACCAGGACTCGTTTTGAAACAGAGGCACGAGGTCACTCAAAAGTGACCTATTTCTTTCAATCAACTTGATATTTGAAAACAAACAAAAATTGAGAGAGAGGGATCCTAGAGGTAACAATGTTGTTATACTCGAACTCTCTCTCCTCCATGGTAGGGTTGCGTGATCTTCTAAGATTTCCCAAGTTGAAATGCGTTCTTCGAGTTTTGTCCTTTGTTTACTAATCAATAACAA